TTGAGGAAAGGTAGAATGAACGTTTTCTGGTGAAGTTTTCTCTCAGTACCGGTTCAAATACAGAATTGAATGTTTCGTCAACAAGAGAAGGTGACTCACATTCATATTGCCTATAGCTGAAAAAGCTACTGCAACTGACTCCAGTGTAGCCCTCTCAGCAGATGTCATCTTGCCTAGATTTTTAACACCACGTCCTGCTATTACTCTATTAGGTACTTGCACGATGTCATACCTGTTTCATCAACGTTCCAGATATCACCAGGGCTTAAATTCAAACGTTGGGAAAGAGCAGTTAAATTAGCAAATACATACTGACATTATGTTTATTGAATGATGTAGCTCTTGAAAGGCTTGTTGCTTGAGGTGTCCTTACGGATAAAGAAGGATGACGTTCGAGAAACGAGCCTAACCAAGCTTCGCCAGCTAACAATTTTGTTCTCCAAGGTTCAGGCACAGCTTTGTTACTTTTTATGGCGAACTGGTATCCTAATTTTTGGATCAATCCATAATAAATATCAGCGACTTTCTTTAAATAACTTGCAAAAGCTTCTTCTTCTTCATCAGTGAAAACTTGCCTATTTTTAATATATCCCACCGAGTCCAAAGTTAATTCTGCTCTCGTCAAGTTCGGATTACGTTCCAATTTCTCTTTTAGTTTCGCCACATAACGATGTAATGTCTTATAGGGAATGTCATATTGTTTTGAAGTTGCATTAATACTGTTTGGGTCAAAAGTTATTAGATGACAAGCTCTTTCTAGGACATCTTTTGGTGTATCAGCTCGTTCAGTCCTTCTTTTATAAGTCCTGATTTTACTGTAACAAAATGAATGTTAAAACACGAATAAAAGGTTAATTTACTAGATATTTTAAACTTCAAATTATATTGGGGTTGGTTGACTAACCATTCAGCCAGCCCCGAAAGAAGTTAGTCTACCAACCCCAGACCTCATTTTAAGCTTCAATGGCATGGAATGCTAGATTTCGTTTAAACTTGACAAAAATATGCTTCAGTACAATATCTTGAACATGTAACAGTGCCAAGTTGAAGATTGTGGGTGTTCTCGAAATATGGTTCTTTGACGGTACCTATGGCAACTTTTGGGAAAATTTTTCTAAGTCAATCTACTCTTCACATTCACAAGGCCACGACAGCTTGACAAAAACCGTATGTATCTGATACACCGCCATCACCTCAGGATAACAAACAACAGAAAAGAACCCCAAACTCGGTTATCCCCGCGGTCCTGTGGGACGCGCGTTTGTCGGGAGACAACGAGATTATCCCGTTGTTTTTTGACGGGAAAGGTGGTCAATAATCACATATCGTGCTCTCCCGAGGCCACCGAGAATCGAACAACTTGTCACACGACCACGGTCTGCAGCGTTTCAGTCTCTGGACCATAATTCGATGATGAGACCGACTTAACTCTGGCGAGAGAACGAAATTCAGTTAGAGGTTGCGTCTCCTGTGTTTGCTGTCCAGAAACTTTGCTGACGGTAACACGGGGAGTGTACAGCGATAGCAAACCGAAAGGTCGAGACAGAAAACTTCAATGCAACTTTTTTTACTTCTTATGCCAAAACTAACGAGCAAGTATTGTAATTGCGATTTCGAAAATGAGATAGTGTTTTTGGAATGTTGTATGACATGTCCGCTACTTTTAAAACCGCCTTTAATTCGGGATGTACCATTCGGATTTTAATGAATAACGCAGATGTTTCAACGAAGGATAGTATACGACGTTATGTACGAAAATTTTCTTATCCGCAGTTCCTGTTTTCTATGTTTGTACATAAAATATCGTAAAGAACCAGAATGAGGTGACCTCCAGCTGGAGAACAACGCGGTCTTAATAGCTGAAATATAATCGTCATTGTCTGTCAGAGCGGTCCGTAGGACCTTTGGCGTTGGTTCATCAATCATAGGTTATTGCTGAAAGTCAGGGAGAAAGAAGGAGGAAGTTGGAAAGCAAGGAAGACGAAGAAAAGAAAAGGAAGTGCGTTCAAGTTGTTAACTAGTGTTCGGGTCATGCTTCTAAAAATTAATTTAGACACTGGATGTTTTAGAAAAATTGTAATTTTAGTTGGATCTAAAGTCGCACGATGTAATTTTGTTCATAGTGCGAGCCGCAGTGTTGCGTACTGTGTTGTCTTCTGACTCATGCAACAATTGGCGTTGGTTAAGGTGACCAGTCAACAGTATATAATATCTACGTGTAGAGGATTTTTGCCAATTTCGGTCATAATATAAATAATACTTATGGTCCAAATATTTTCATTCCTGATGATGGTCTTCTGAAGCACCTGTGTGGAAAAATTGTTGAAATTGGTCGTCAAAACAAATTCTTTTGCAAAAGAAATAATAGTTATCTTTAATGACTGAAGGGGTGGCAGATAAAAAACGTAAATAAAACTTAATTTCCTGCCTCAAGGAAATGATTCCCAATACAAGTTGTACCTCAAAAGAATACTCTATCATAGAGACAATTTATAGGCTAGATGGCATTGTGTGAGAAAACTTCCGAAGTGATGGCAGATGAAAAATATAAATAAAAATTAATTTTCACCCCCAAGAAAATTATTTTCCACAACGAATTGTACCTCAAAAGAATACTCCATTATAGAGACAATTAATTGGCTGGGTGATATAGTGTGAGAAAGCTTCTGCAGGGGTAGCATATAACAAATATAAATGAAAATTCATTTTCAGTCCCCAAAGAAATGATTCCCCAACACAAGTTGTACCTCAAAAAAAATTCTATTATAGAGACAATTTATAGGCTAGATGACATTGTGTGAAAAATCTTCTGAAGGGGTGGCAGTTGAAAAATATAAATAAAAATTGATTTTTCATCCCCAAGGAAATGATTCCCCAAAACGAATTGTACCTCAAATAATGCTCTTTTATGTGAATAGGCTTGGTGGTGTTCTGTGAGAAAGCTTTTAAAAGCAGATGAAAAATATAAATAGTTCATTTTTCACCCCCAAGGAAACGATTCCCCAAAACAAGTTGTACCTCAAAAACATACTCTATTAAAGAGACAATTTATAGGCTAGATGGCATTGTGTAAAAAACTTCTGATGGGGTGGCGGATGAAACATATAAATGAAAATTCATTTTCACTCCTAAGGAAATGATTCTCCAAAACGAATTGTACATCAAAAAATACTCTATTATAGAGATAACTTAGGCTAGGTATAAATGAATCAACATTAAATTATTTGATAAAGTTTATCCAAGGTATGAAAAAATATTTTGTTAAAACCGAGAGAACTTCCAAATAAGTCCAAAAAGCGCTACCCTGTTTCATCCCAATGAACTTTTATCCCGATTTCGCGTATTTGACAAAAGGAACGTTGTTTTTCCTCGACCTCTAACTGTAATGAAGCAGTTATCTTTGCAGTTCTTCTTTAGCACGTTTATATTATTCGCCGAGCGAAGTTTTTCCTCCTTCATAGATAACATCTTGGTCTCAAACACGGGAACAGATCTAATTAGAAGCCAATACGAAGACAATGCTCGTATCTCAAAGATACAATCTTTAGTACAACGCATCTTAATTGCCGCAGTGTTCCTTTTAAGGACTTGATAGAGTTCTCCTCTCTAGTATCTATCTCTCATTACTTATGTATTAGAAGAGAACCCAATCCAGAATCAATCATCTTCGGAATACGCTCCTAATAAAAGTCCAATAGAATAAATTATAGTGCAGATATATCTGGCAAATAGCCAATTTGTTGTTTGGCCGTGTATCTCGGTCGAGTTTATACATCGCTGCCGAAAAGTTGGATTGGTATCGAAAATTGATGTCGGACGACTGGCGCTGGATGTTTTATGGATTTTGTGCTGGCTATCAGTCTCCTAGGGGTAGACTGCACCGAAGCACTACTTTCTATTTATTCTCATATCCTTGACTCAACATAAGTGTAGCATTGGATTCATGCAAAAATCTGCCTCAGCCACTGTGAGATACTGAAATTCAAATTTGGAAAATGGCGTCAAAAAAAAATCTTTTACGGTTTTATTTTGTTTTGTACGCAGTTTTTGACAACTGATCGCGAATATTATTAACGAAATCAAGTTACCTCTATAATTGGGGTGCAATATTTACAAACTCGCCCGTTGCTTCATCCAACTCCCTATTTTCAGTAAGTATCTGAAACGTCAAAACATACTATCTCAAAAACTATAAAGCTTTTTTGTCCTTGTCATAATTTTTCTTGACACCGAAGCAGCCGCACAGGCAGAAGCACAAATACCGCGGCTGCTATGATGAGCTTTAAGAAGCTTTGCTAATCAGATTTTTGAATCGCCTAATGTTAGTAGAACTGAGAAAAGCTTCCTCGGGTAGACTGCTTCACAATTTCGATACCCTAGAGAGAAAGGAGCGGTCGTATCGGCCAGCTCTGGACGGAGTCCTGTGGAGCAAAGCCCGTTGACATAGTGGTATATAAGCGCTAGATGGCCGACAACCCGATGGTGCAAAAGGTCTGCTTAACCACAGCTAAAGGACATAATGGCAGCTTGAATCTAATTCACCACCACGCAGGCGTTGAGCGGCAAGTAAGCAGTCGCGTAGATACTGCATTGGAGCTTGAACTGTTGATCAAATAATTCTCAGGAGTCACGTTTGAGCTATATTTTGATCCATGGCAAGGTACGTTGTAATTTTGTTCTGTCCACAAAACAGACAGGTAAAGGAAATCAAGACTTCTAATAATCAAAACGTTTTACCCCGCTATGGACAATACTGCTACTAGTTTCCGACACAGCGGCAGAAGGCTGATGATTCAGAACAATTTTTTAAATTAATTAAGAATGGTATAGAAGTAACCGCTTACTTATCTACCTATCCTTTTTCAAAGTACTCTTACTTCTTCATCTATGGTTTCATTTGGAAAGTGGAGATTGATCTTTGGCTGTTGATATTGAAGGCCATTGTATTTAAAGTTATTAAGATTTGATTTTTTTTTGATAATAATTGCTTTTTTTGTTGCAGCAGACGCAGATGGGTCCTCCTCATCGGACGGCGGAGGAGGGAACCTGCTTGACCCCCAGCACCAGGACATCCTCACTTGCGGAGTGTGCCAAAAACACTTCGCTCTTGCTGACATCGTCAGGTTCATACAACATAAAGTAAGTAACTCACTTTTGGCGCACATTTCTTCTATATCCAACCACAATCGGTCTCCTCTGTAAAACATCCATCACCATCGGCAATTAGAAATGGGTAACTGACTTTAGACGAACATCTCTTTTATATCTATCGATCTCATCTGTAAAGTAACCGTCATCATTAAGGTACGCGTCTACTGATCTCACACTGCACCATCGAAAATTAGAAATAAGTAACTCACTTTTAATGAACATTTCTTTTATATCTGACCACTATCGATCTCCCCTGTAAAGTAACTTTCATCATTAAGGTACGCGTCCACTGATGTCACACTGCATCATCGGCAACTAGAAATAAGTAACTCACTTTTGGCGAATATGTCTTTTATATCTAACCACTATCTCATCTCATCTGTAAAATAACTTTCAGCATTCAGGTACGCGTCCACTGATCATCATCTGACGGTCGTCACTCAACGCACCATCGGCAATTAGAAATAACTAACTCACTTTTGGTGAACAATTAGAAATAACTAACTCACTTTTGGTGAACATTTCTTTTATATCTGACCACTATCGAGCTCCACTGTAAAGTAACTTTCATCATTGAGGTACGCGTCCACTGATCCGCATCGGACGGACCGCACGCACCGCACTATCGGTAATTAGGAATAGATTATAATATAGATAGACGTCATACAGATTTCTGATCACAGTAAATGGGTAACTTTTCCTTATAATGTTGGCGACAGTGGTATCGTCAGATTATTGTTTCCTAATGATTCAAATTGACGTCATGAAAGAGATCGAGCATTTGCCGCCATTTTGATAAACGCATTCAATCGAAAATTTCAAAAACCATTCTCTGCAGAAGGCGATAGTAGTCTTTATACATTCAGGTTGTTAGTTTAGCCATTTTAAGGGGAAATATCAATAGTACCTTTACCTTTAATATCTCGTAATCCGTTGAATATATTCGTACAACAATTTTTTGTAAAAGAAAAATGATAAAGAATTTAATTCCATACAAAAGTTTCTGTTACCCTTTTTTACACAGGATAGATGGTTTTTAAGATTTTCGATCAGACGCGCTCATCAAAATGGTGGCAAATGCTCCAGCCCTATCATGACATCTATTCGAACTTAATAGGAAGCAATAACCTAACGATACCACCAAAAAAAACTTACCGTCACCAAAAATGTAGGATTTCCTTGTACCAAATCTTCCATATGCTTGGCCTACAACATAGATTGAACGTTTGGTGTTCTCCGTCTGACGCGTACGTTGTACGATGTACGATGCGGATCGATGGACACGTCCCTTAACACGATTCCGTCCCCAAAAATCTGATAAATGATTCAGAATCAGCTCAAGACTTAGTTTGATTACTAATGGAAGACGTAGTCGAAGTATTGATTCTCAAACTCGGAGTCTTGGTGTAGTGGTAGAATTTTTCTCCTGACTATGGATGTTGTGATTGTCCTTAGATGTTAGACGGTATCAGACTGACGAGCATAGAGGTACCACCTGGCGGATATCTATTGCAGAGCCAAAGTGTGTGCATGACCTTCATACTGGCTCACATATAAAAAAAGGAAGATGGCTTTACGAAGCCTCACCCAACTCCGAAAATCTTCAGACGAACTGTTGTTGGATCTTACTTATTAATTATATATTGTGTATGTCTTTCGAAGATTGTAGAATTTTTTCAGCTAAAGGATGTTTTCTGTTTCAGGTGGGCTCGTGCAACAAGGAAAATTTCGCCGCAGGTGCGGGAGGTCAGTGCTACGCAGGAGGGGGTAGTGACGGTGACGAAGGAGGGGGACCACCCCCCTCCACTTTACCCCTCGGTACTATCAACACCAGGCGACCCAGTATCTCAGCGCCTATCAGCGGAAAGAAGAGTCAAATGCCTGGAAGGGTAGGTACTAGGTTTTTATCGAAATAAGACAATGTAAAGCGCCATCTATCACGAGAATCGATAACCGCTATAGCAGCTACCGATTGGAACCGTAACGATCTCATTTCGCGTTTGATAGCCCAGACAACACTGTGACCGCTAGAGGCTGACGCTTCTGCTTTTTTTCGTTCGGAGAAAGGCAGCCAACCTTGGATAGCAATTATAATTAAATCTATCAAAAATCTTATAATTATGCTGATAACAAAATTATTCAACCTTTTTATTAACTCAGAACGTTGTTCAAGGTATTCACAAGATTATTCCTCTTTTTAAAAGCGGTGACCCTGTATCCAATTACGGATTAATTTCCCTGGTACCAGTTATTGCTAAGGTTTTGAGTGACATTTTTTGATCAAATAATCTATTTGCTAATTGTCACTTTGTCTTCAGATGTCACAGATCAACAACATCAGCTATCCATGCTTTTGTTGATTACACTGACTCCACCTTAAAAAAGCGTCTGACTGTATTTAGCATTAAATTCGGTTCGAAAAACTTTCATACTACAATTTCGATAATCAACTTGTATATTTTCACAGTTCAATCTCTTCATAACAACCAGTCAATAGTGAAGTCCCGCATGGGTCAATTCTTGGTCCAATCCTTTTCTTCATATATGACACAAAAATCATCAATGTTCACACAGCAATTGAAGCCCTCTTCATATACGAGTAAAAGCATGACATGTAAATTGAAAAGCTGTTTTACATCAAATCTACTAACTCTCTGTGATAATGAATCACATACCTTTGACTTACTTGAACCTGCTAAATTCCTAGGAGTACATAATTATGACCTGTATACTTTTGTATTACATGTAATGAAGGATCTATCTATTAAGGTGTATATACATGTTGAGAAATCTTAAAAGCTAGTGGTCTTTCTGCATCCGTTTTTTTAACCACCCTGTTGCTTTTCAGGTCCACACACCTCCTCCTGCATCTCCTAGGTTACCTGCTCCAGGCGAGCTTTGCGTAGACGGAGCCGCCTCCTCGACCCCTAAAAGACGAGCTTCTTCTCCTCTAACAGGATCCAGTCTGGATGAAGATGGAGTCAAGCCCATCATCAAGCAAGAGAAGATCGACACCACCAGCTCGTCACCTGAAGAAGGAAGTTGTAAAAGGAGTAGAACGGAAGTTGCGGATGCGGAAAGTAATACCACGCATAGCGGTAAGTTATCGAGCATGAACTTTGTGATTCTTCCTTCTTTCGATCTTGGTAGCTTCGTGCTTTGGAAAAATGGATATTGTTTAAATGTGCTTGGCAACTAACCATTCTCCGAGACGGAGGTAAAGCGGAATGGTAGCAGGACACAGGTAGAACACACTTTACTCTGCTGTTTGTTTAGGCCGGGAATACATTTTGGAAGCTAAATGCTTAATGACTTCAATTTAAGTTGAATTATAGTCTTGTATGCCTATATTGATATAAACTATTTGGTAGAAACTGTAGAAACAAATTACTATGCACTGCAGGCATTTAAAAATTGTTCTAATCCAGTTTGGAGCATAACTAAGCGACTTTATTTTGTTTATACGCTTGTTCTATTTCAACTTAATTTTATCGTTTTGAAAAATGATTTGGATGTTCCACGAAATAGATGTGACTAAAAATTTCTTCTGTAATATCTAATCTGTATGAGGATCTGACTATTGAGATCAGGCATCTATAAAGGCTTAATTGTTTGCTGAAAATAGCACGATGTCTGCATATTTGTTATTTTGAATTTTGGAAAGTTTCAAAGAACAAAAATGCAAAGTTCTGATATATTGGTGACTTCCCTAGCGCCTAAAAAATCGTTCTGCCTACCTTTGCTTGATATTGTACTACAATCTTTTGAGTTTTTTGGAAGAGCTGGTATTATTAGGTACCTAAATGGGCAAATTTGCTTCGATTTAACAAACTTCGTATCTCTTACCGTTCCCGAGAGCCCGCTGGTGATAGCCGAATTTAAAATACTCGCCGCATTATGTGCAATATTGTAGTAGTACTTAAATTCTACTTAAAAGTATACAGTATTTGCATCCATCAATAAGATATGAACATTTTATGGTGTATGGCATCCGGCACGGATACTACTTGTCTTGTCGGTTTTTTTTTTACAGTTTGTAGGTTCTTTATGACATAACGTAGGTTATTCTACAAGACGTCAACTTAGCAATATCTTTTGTACACTTGTTATAATCTTATCTTGTAGCTGTTGCTTAAACGTCAGCTAGTCTACAAGTTATAATTTTGTTTGTTTTTTCTACGTTTTTACATAATACCCCTGTGGAGATTAGTTTGTTTCTATGAGGATATTTAAAATCCATATTCAGATGTTCAACATTTTTCAACACAGAATAGCACGAATGATACAGACCCTCTTGAAAGTTGTTTTTTAATGTTTGCCTAGTTTCTGCATAATTGGTGACGGGTTTGATTTGTGGTTACGTCAAGAGTAATAAGCTCGACTATACCAAAAATTGAAAGTCCGGGGTGTTTACTCACTCTCAATGAAGAGCTTCAATGGATTAATATATACTAAGTGACATATAAATCCGAACACCCAGTTTAAATGGTTTTATTTTAATAAAATTTTGTATAAGTACTTAATGAAGCATAATAAGTAAATGATAAAAATTTCAAAATGATTGCACTGCTTTAAAGCCCTTTGACCTTTAATAATGTGTGGATGCACCCTGATGTACTACGCATTCTCCAACGCGCCTAGGCATGCTTCTGATCAGGTGGTCAATGTCCTCCTGTGGTATCTCATTCCAGGCAACCACCAACTCCTCTCGAAGTGCTTCCAGAGTCTGAGGAGGACGTTACAAATTGAGCAATCTCCTACCCATCATATCCCACACGTGCTCAATTGGGGATAAGTCGGGAGATCTTGGTGGCCATGGTAACAATGTGACATCATTATGTTGAAAGAAGTCTATTGTGACTCTTGCAACATGTGGTCGGGCATTATCTTGTTGGAAAGTTGGATCTGCCAGGGTATCAAGATAGGGTAAAAGATGGGGTTCTAGAACTTCGTGGTTATAACGCTGCGCGTTCATGTTACCTCTGATGAAGATTAAAGGTGACGTGGAACCATAAGCTATAGCACCCCAAACCATAACTCCAACAGTGTGATGAACATGTCTTTCAACAGAAAACTGTGGATTCCTCCTTTCACCACGTCGCCTTCTAACCCTGGCACGACCATCATACATGCCTAAACAAAATCGAGACTCGTCACTAAAGACAATACTGTTCCATTCCTGATCCCAGAGTGACCGTTGTGTGCACCACTCAAGGCGATTACGTCGGTGTTCTCGAGTTAAAGAGAGGACCCATTAAGTTGACGAAATCGTACAGGTCTCCGTACTCTAGTAGGGTGTCAAAGGATGTCAAGAACCAAAATCCGCCAACGTTGATTCTTTACTGCGGCTGAAATATTCATTTTTAGAGCGTTAGTGAATTAAAAAAAATCAGTATAAAATCCGGAATGTCCAACTGATAAGGCTGAACATTTTTTCACTTGTTATTTACAGTAAGAAGTACACTCATCAACTTTTATTAAAATAAAACCATTTAAACTGGGTGTTCGGATTTATATGTCACTTAGTATATCAACTGAGCAGCACAGCCTAAATCTCAACTCTAAGAGCGCAAAAGTTACTTTGGCAATAAAAACAAAAATATTATGAAAGATACTTTCTCCATTGAAAATTAAATTAGGTGCACAATTTCTGTGATTCTGCTCGAAACTTAGATTTAACTATATATCCAAGTCTGCGTCTCTATACACATAATCAAACTCTAGTAAATGAAGCCTTCAGTTCTCCAAAAGTCGTCTATAGGAATCGACATTTCCTAAGTAAAAAACTAAGGAAAACACTGTGTAAGACCTTGATGCTTAGTCATTTCAGCTATTGTAGCTTCATTTATGGGCCGTGTTTGACTAGTGCTGACATAACAAAAGATACAGCGGAGGAGATTCTTTCACCAGTGTAACTTTACACACAAATTGGTCAACAATTCAAATCCTTCAGGTCTGATTAAACATTTCACACCTCGCAAAGATGCTAAATGCTAGATCACAATTGAACTACACACCTCCTCAGTACAAGACCGCCATGTATTCTAAAGATCGTTAATATGAAATGCGATCAGGATGTACAAGCTTCCAGAAAAATTCAAGCCTCTAAACAAGTTCGGATTCAAACTAAAACGTTATTTCTTTGATATGCAGTAGGATCAATGATAGTACTTTTTAAATTTTTTGTTCTTTATTATTGTTTATAGATACGTAGATATAAAAAATGGTTAAGTCTCTTTTTACCACAAAATTTACTGCTACTGTCGTTGTACATTCTATATGGTAGTAAAAAGCTAAAAGCGTAATCACTACATGTATGTTTCTTTGAGAATGCTTGCGTTGCTTAACTCTTTTTGAAAAACTAAATGTATACCTATATTTTTTTGTCTACTTTATCGATTCTTTGGCCACTAGTATTGTATTGTTAAAAACATGATTTCTTTGTCTATGAGAATCAAGACAGTTTATTATTATTACTTATTCACAATTCAAATAAGAATCGTCTGACGACCTTTTCCGAAATTTCCGAAATATCAAGACGAGCGTCTTTAAATTTCTTATGTTAAACGTCGACTTCTCTGTTTTACGCCAGCGATATCCTTGTCGACAGCAGTGGCAGTTACGGGCACACGTTGTCCTTCCGCTTTTCCCTTAAAGGAAACGACCCTTTTATTAAAAATTTTCCGCATTTGGGCAGACCCCGGTGCCCGGTGTTATCTGGCCGTAAAATCGCGTGTGCCATGGTGCGGTAGTATCGATATCCGCCGCTAGGGCTCGCCGTTGGGCATTCACGGCACGTCCGCATCGTCCGAACAATTTTTCACCGCACGATTTGCAGTTTATTATGCCGGGTGGGGGTTGTAGGGGTTATGCTAACCCTACGGTTGCCCCTCCCCTCCTTCCTTCCCCAATGCGGTATAACGTTCTGGAAACATGTGTTCGAAATACCTTCACTAGCTAGCTGGGAAACGATCAGAATTGCTGCTTTCCTCCAACTTTTAAGGGAATGTAGTAACTCATGACATATCTTTTCACGCCAAGAAGAGTTGTAATTGCGAAAAATTATGAAAGTGAGAAAATTAAGGGCGCAAGAAAAAAAAATTTCGGTGATTTTTGACAGGCTGTACTTCAGTGCAAAATGGTCGTATCTATGATTTGAAAATAGCATTTTGTAGCTTCAGGATTTTTAGCCGAAAAATATTATGAGCAACGGTTCTTATGCTTCAGCGATCAGAGACCATAGACAATCAAGTTAGAAAAGTTTGTGTAACTGGTTGCCTGCCTCTAGGAAGTTCAAACGCACGCTAGATGTCAGCGATGCCCTTCAAGAAAATGAACATGCTTAAAATGCATTACGTAAAAATATGAAAATAAACAGAAAACAAAAAACTCCGAAACTTCACTATGAAAGTAAACTATCATGGCAGTGTCATAGTATTTGGAAACTTGTAAACATTTGGAGAAAACAGATAAAGTAGAACTTAATGCTAAAAAAGAAGATCATTCTCCCGGTAGGAGAATACCTAGCAACCCCAGAGGTATGTATTATTTATTAAAAATCTTGGGAACTGGTGTACATGAAAAACTAAAGTATATCCCACATTATTTGAGATTGCTAGAAACATGTAAATCTCTCTACAAGCTACAAGCGGCAATTACGTTGAGTATTTAAATTTGAAACGTACATCTTAATGAAAAATTAAGAAAAAAAATCAACAATACGGAAACAGTTATCCATACAAACACTAGTTCCTAGTACTCGTCTTAGTGAGCGCGAACTATTGAAGTAGTTCATATGAATGAACTAGAAAGCACATTACTGAAAGGCTTTCACTGAAGCACTGATGCAGCTGAGCCGTCTACCCCTCTGAAAAATTTTCAGCGGCCCCACAGTGGTTCAGAGGACACCATTTCCGCGAAAAACGTATCGTGATTTCTAAATTTGTAACTGGTAAACCGATTCTTATGAGCCATACCTCAGTAGAAAGCTAATGAATTCTCTTTAAAAAATTGTATCAAAAATTGTCAAATGTCAAAATTTGAGGATGGCGGCACTAAAAGGTCTTTACAAAATTTTAGCACATATTCCTGAGTCCAA